TTCAATAGTGTCAGCTGAGCAGATTTTTCTGGCTCTTTGCGTTAAGCAGCGGTGACCACTGCTGATGTTAAACCGAGCTCTATGCGTTACCCTCGTTGATATTACAACGCATTCTGGCTGATATTGCATGCCATCACATAACGCAACGTCTGCCTGACTTGTATGTACTCATCGAAGTTAACTGAGGAGAATCCATGCTATTGTCAAATCGGGTTTGATCTAAATATTGTTCATTACACACGTTGTGAACGGGGCAAACAGTCGTCTAGTTGAGACTTGTTGATGAAAACGCACTGACCGCTAATGGAACTCACTTCTCCCGCTCTGCCTTGGGCCTCACTTCTCGGACCCTGACAGCAGCTGCAGCGGCTAGTAATCTGCGCAGATATCATTTCTGGCACAGGCAAGGGAGACTAGAATGGTCATTTCTGGCTTATTAGTCGTCATCAGCCAGTCATGCACAACCCCAAGTGGTACACTACCCGAAGCCCGAACCCCAAAAATGGCTATTTCAGTCCCCCTTGTCTTTGCCGGCAATACTACCTGCCTAGACTACTGGCCACTAAAACTGCTGTCAGGGCCCGAGAAATGTGGCCCAAGGCATAGGCGGAACGGGACAAGTAAGTTCTGTTAGCAGTCGGTGAATGTTCATCAATGAGAGTCAATATCCTCCAACCTAAACCGCCAAGACAACGAGCTCGTGGCTCAATAGCTAAAGTGTTAGACTGTTGATCAAAGAGACGAGGGTTCGAGCCTCGGGTGGTGCGCCACTTGGGGTTGCGTATGGCTGGCTGACGACGGCTAAAAAGACAGAAATGGCCATTCCAGTTTCCCTAGTCTTTGCCGGTAATACTTTCAGTTGTCTGGTTGTCACGCGGACAGAGGAGGTTTGCTACCCACCATCCATATGGTGGGGCATACGCCCGCCCAGCGGAGCAACTTGGCTCTACAGACACTGACATGTGAATTCATTTCAGTACGTCATGGAGTATGCAACACCCCTATCAATGTCTATTTTCCGGGAGTTTGCGCATCACCTCCATCGCTGTGCTCGAGAGTACAAGGAGAGCATCAACAGACGCATCAAACTGGACGTCATGACAGATGTCTTCATCTCTTGCGACGCTAAAGCCCTAAAGGATGACATAAAGTGCCCTTGCCTCCGGCCGGTAAGTCAATTTGAATCCAAATCTAACTTGGTGCAAATTACTTACAGTTTCGTTATCTTATGAGCAATGTAAAATTATCCAACCTTTCAACTCAAATCTTTAAGGCGACGAATCATTTTGGGATCTAATGGTAGGGAAATAACGGATCCGTCCTTTGCTATGACACCATAAAGTATCGTTCGTACACATTTCGTGCATAAGAATAAAAGAATACCTTGTAAAGGTCATCGATGAATAATGCGTTAAAAGAAGGCTAGAGGAACTGATCCGCCTAACGTGCTCTTTGCAAAATGTGCACTAAATGCACCATACTGCTATCAATTACTTAATCACAAAACAGCAACATTTTTACTAGCATGTGTGTTTAGGAGGGAAAAGTACAGAGACAGAGAGCACTATTTGACTGATTCGCTTTAGGGTAAGGTACTTCTGGAGGGGGCGAAAACAATCCCGTATTTGGAACGCAATACACAGGTGAGGACTAAGTTGTCCGGATGAATACAATCTTTAGTTCTACTGTGGACTGTGTTCTTAATAAAAAGCCAACGCCAGTAAGGCTTCCTTTTAACCGAGTGTGTTCCTGTGTCAACACCGGTTATGTTCCCCCAGTGCGTGTT